TGGAGACACTACAAGATATGGCTGCCAACCGATGTCAGTGGCGTTCTTGTTGTCAGTTTCTATCCAGATTGCCTGAGTGAATGTCTGGAGGTGTAGGCACCTCGGAATGATTGTGTTAAGCTAGCACTAAGTCCCTTCCCCGTCCACCTTTATTCTTTTCTTTACAATAAGGCTTTCAAATAAGTCATGGTTGTACGGCAGTGAAGCATCGGTGTTGAACGCTGATGTCATGCTGTCGATGATGATGACCCAAATCATGTTGCAGTGTGAGTCCTGCAACTGCCACATATGTGACGCCAGAATGGTTGTTGCTTAGTTGTTCCTAGGGTGATACTGCTGGTTAAAAGTTTGTCTAGAAAGCAATCCTGTATTCCCTAAGGCCCTTGCCGGTCCCTTCAGTAAGATTGATGGTTAAGTTGCGAACAGTTTTCTTCGTACATCCAGCCAGTTCTGGGGTTTGGATTAGGTCCGGTCTCCTTCAGGACTCTCTGGGGAGGCTGACGAGAGCCTGTTTGAGGTCAACTTCTTCTGGCAGCACAGTTCTTTCCACACGCGTCTAACTGTTGCACGGCACCCCGGCCCATAGTTCATTAGTCTTTTTTGGTAGTACTGCACTTTTTGTGGTGGTCTGTAGTGTGACGAAAATAATTCTCGGACTGAAGCGGCCTTTGCCAACTTCCGATGTCAATGACACTAACATCAATAGAAGACGCTTTGTCACACGATAGCCAGTTTTACTGGACAGCAACACAGTCACTAAGAGTAGATGGTTAGCGAACTTGCCGAACTCGACAACGCCCAGACCGTTGCCCGAGTTTGATGACAGTGTCAGATTAGAACTTCTGGGATTCGTCGTTCGCCTTTTTCGATTAGCAACCCATGTAACAAACAAGCTAGTTCGCAGGATGCGCGGGTTGGCCCATGTTCATCGCCTATCGGAGATCCATTTACCTCACGTTTTTCCCTAGCCACATAATGAGTGGAAACGCACCATAATTGGTCTGACATCGGTTTAGAAACGAAACACGAAAGCATTGACTGGGTGATATAATTGCTTTGCTTACTTTCAGCCTCTTTGTTTAAGTCTTCGGTTGGTGGATGTGGGCACCTGCGGACAACTCGGCTGTATTGCACCCGCCTCAGGGCTAGCACCCCCCATACGTAATTGCTTTCTCACCAAACCCGATGAAAAGCAGCTCCACAATCCCACCTTGACACTGTACCAACAATAATTATGTGAAATTCCAGTCAGTCACCGCCATCAGTGAATGGATACCCTTGCTATTCACCCCACTGCCGATGGGTACAAATTTGACAGCACCAAGCGTTGTGTCGTGGTGCGTATTTTATGGCTGAATGATCAGAGCAGTCAACGCAGCACCCGTACTCAGACCATAGACAATCGGTCCTGCTCAACTCCCCCAAAATCTATTGCAAACACGGTGATTTAGGAGTAAATACCAAACCCCATACCAAACACCAAACCTGCTGACATAACTTCTGTTCTACCAAACCCAACTCGTCACCAAACCTGCTGACATAACTTCTGTTCTATTTCAGGTGAGGGACACTTGCTATGGCACGCAATGTGGCAGCGGTTAATCGCATTATTGCTCTGTTAACCGGTGACAAATCCTTCAACCGACACTTCCGAACTATCCAGGCGGTTTCCGTCACCGACGATTGTCTAAGATGCCGATTTCAAGTAACGCAAGCGGAAGCCAATTCTTTCGGAACCCTCCATGGTGGTTTTATCTCAGGTGCGGTTGATTTTATTTCTTCCGTTGATCTGGTTGCTTATGGCCATCATAAGCACGTCACGGTGAACCTGGCGATAGAGTAGGAAGTCTTATTGTACTGAAAAATGGTCTACTTCATTCCCATAGATGCCACAAACCCGCCATCCTAAACTCGTGGATCAAAGTGGATTCTCAAGTTCTGAACATAGGTAAAAGACTAGCCTTCTGTGACGTGAAGTTCGTGGATGAGGAGTCGGGGAAACTTCTAGCCTGTGGATCACATACGAAATTCCTACTGGAATAGTTATCCTTGTACTATTCAGAATTTTCTGGGCGTTTATTGATCGCCGTCGATCTGAAGCTGCTGATTCCCCATTTCTCGGTGCGCCGTCCAGTGAACTCATGCCTTTCTTGCCACACTAGATATCATCTATCTCCATCACCCTTTTTTATGTACATTTTATGCATTAGATACCACTCAGATTCATCTTAGTTTTATCCTGGCGATTCTTGATACTCAGATACAGAATAAGTTCTGCCATTTCAACAACCGCTTAGTATTACGGGACTAAACAACTGTGGATAAGCGTTCTTTCGAATCACTATACCACTGGATCTCCCAGTTAAGAAAACCAAGGTCGAAGCAAGCCTATGAAATCTGCCCGCGCACTGATAAAGGCCGTATACGGTGGCGGGCCCGAATTTCACGTCATTCTGAAGCGTCAGTCATTGATGGCTTCCTAAGTGTATCAGTTCTATAAATGTGAATTTGGACAGCTTATTGTGCATATAGTACACACCCGCAACAGTTCCTTTGAGTCCATAATTATTCGATTATTATTATTCGGTCCACCACCAGCCTCAACCTTCTTAAAGCCCATCATGCAAGCCCAGTCCCAAACCTGTGTTCGAATTTCACACCAAATTGACGAAATACACTCAAGCGAAAGATTCAGTTGGGTCTTTCGTTAACGCCCATGTAAATGAATGCACCTCATCAATCCAATATACGCTTTGCTACAGAAGGCAACGATGATAGCTCGGGTCACATAGTAAACGGTAGACCAGCGGTTACCTGACTGCCTACCAATGAACTGGAGTCCGGTAAAGCAAGCTCCAAGAGCAAGCTGACACCGACCAGTCAAAACAGATAATAGGCGAAATTCATGCCTGACTGACAGCGGGTATGTAAACCCATATAAACACTCACTGACGACCTCTCCCCAATGAGTGATGAAACGCTTGTAACCAAACAGACCAGCTCTTCGAACTGATAAACGACCTATCCAAGGATTTTTAGATGTGCCGATGTCACCTAGGTGCTGCTGTAGTGCCTACTCTGAGCAAGAAAAAACCACTAAGGCGAAAATGAAAATACTCGCCCTCGATAATAGAGGTTTGAATGGGGTTCCAAACGGGTCTCTGCTGCAAAACTGACAGTAGAAATGTGCACAAAAATTTAAAGCGATCTCTTCACATTAAAGGCAACTATCTGGAATCGACTTCCAACCTGGATCTACGTATTTCGTGTGCATTATGTATACTCTGAATGCTCTGACTCCAAGAAGAGCGAAACTGGTCATGGGCTGTTAGAGTTTTCAGCAACAGGCTGTTAGAGGTTTCAACAACCTTATAAGTAGTGCGTCCCGTCTGACATTCCATGACGAATGTTTTTGTGCACAGGGTTCGACTATCATAAACGATACCCCTGATTGCACTCAACAGAATTGTTGGAGGTTCTGCGTGGGTGCGCTCTTCCTGCTTACCGGATTTTCGCCAAAGTGGATTCAATTGTGTTGGAGTTGATTACGGGGGTAGTGCTATACAAAAATTACTTCCCGTAATTCAAGCCGACGGCTCATTACTGTCTTGCTGTCTGTAGGTTAATTAATCGCCGGGAAATAAGTTTCGAAGAAAACCAGACGCCTTGGCCAAATGGTAGGCTAAAATACTGCAGCAAATGAACCAAGACACTGAGAGTTCACAATATCAAGTTCGCATCTTCAGTACGCACATACCTATGTATATGATTATACCGTTGATAAAAAGGCATGTTGTGTGAGTTGTAGCCCGACCTGCCGACCTAGGTTGGGATAACAGCAGATAGAATACGTTGAGGGACGTACAAGAACAAAGGTACAACGTCCATTCGTAATTTATCCTGCGCAGCGAAATCCGGTTATTATTGAATAACGAAGTAGTTTCTTTCATTTCTTCACAGAGCACCCGCTAATTATCGACCTGTGGATTCTTGAGGCTGGGAGTCACTTATTCGGCATGAGTATTATGGATTAAGGTATTCCCTGCAGCGAATATCTCACCCGCCGCCTTCC